GAACGAACAAGCCTAACTTTACCAAAATGCCCAACAAACAAATGACAATTATACCCTGATGAACACATTCTCTCCATGAAATCTGATGTTAAAAATTTCACTTTTATTTTCCGCGTGGGATGGATTTAATATGACTGAATTGCCGTAAGATGAAACACTGCTTATACTTTTTCAATTGGTGTATTCCAGTCTGCATTGTGAGTCTTGTACAAACTACGTGGGTTTCATTTTAAGAAAATCTAGCGAACCACTCGCGATAATATAATTAAAAATTAGTCAATTCGAAAGCATATGGTTGTTTTGCTTCGTTGGCCACTACATTAAGGAACGCTCAAACCGATAACCGATAGTGTGCATTAGTTAATTAACGGTTGAATTCGCGCGAAGAGATTAATGGCTCTTATATTTACGATGGGTAAAAGGGATTCATTTCATCACGAACAAACTCGACGTTGCCGTCATTGACAAAATATGGTAACAGCAATACCGACCAATCTTGTACACAGACAGCGATGGTGGTGAGGTTGACTAAGCGCAGAAAGATGAAAAGATACTGACAATCACCGGAAGTCGAGTTAGATATATCAAGCCTGTACATGCAATATGTTGTTCATTGGTAAAGGCAGACTAGACTAAAATAGTAGCGACAACAGTCCGATATCATCCGCTCCCAATGTCGAATTAGCAGATGAAATATGTCACCGAGTACAGTTGTAGTTCAAAGTTTGTAAATAATAAAAGCAATTAATACAGTGATATAGGTACGAATGGATTGTTAACATTCAACTGTGCAGACAGTGAAATAAAATTATTAAAATCAAACAATATACGATAAATTGAAATTCTCTATCCTCATTCGCCTGTGGAAGGGTAGAATGTATTTTATTAATATTATATATAAATGACATATAAGAGATACGGAACACCAATGCGACTACGACCAATTATTAGGTCTAACAGATGAACTGGGTATAACTTGTGAATGCACCTGATATTTTCTGCAGCATTATTTCCTTTTGTGACGAATTAAAAACGTCGCCGATAAAGAAACAAGATGAAAAGTGTCCAAATAATAAATATGAACTTTTCGCTGTGATTTGGGGTTGGCGTATAGGACATGTGTCGTCTTTGTTATCCAATTTGTGGCAATAAGTCAGTTTTAAGTAGCAACCAGAATACAAGCGTATTAGTTCTATCTCGACCGTCTCCCAGAAATCAATTTTATAGATTGGTTTTGCCGTTTCGTTGCAGACAATCTCGAAATCAATACGGAAAGTAAATGAGAAACGACTAATTGGATGAAACTATTTTGTGGGATTAATTCGGTCAATATATAATCGACCACGACGCACTCCCTCTATCTGATGTCTGTTAATTAAACTAATCATCTTTCGGTACAAGCACCACACTCCCACATGCAGCATTTCCGCTACGCTCTGAATTATTTTAATGTCCATATCTCAAAACAAAGTGTTGTAATAAAGTTTCCCGTTGCACATTGGACCAAGCGTTTTTAGACCTAGTTGAAACGTCTATTAAAGTTTGGTTTAAGGTACAATCCGGAGCGGCCGTGCATAATTATTCGCCATTAATGTGTTTCTAATTTTTAGCTTATTAGTCAAAACACCCCCATGTGCTAAATATTTTCACTGCTCTTACGCTAGTTCATCAGTTTGTATTATAAAACTGGAGTCAGTTATGAGTCAGATGCGTTCGTGAACAAGATATATCAGTAGTGCGCCAACATGTGCGCTTTTTGCTTCAACTTGCACATATGTTAGAAAGGTAATATATTATGTACGTTATGAATTGAAATCGGATATGTATTCATTGCATGTTGCTGGCAACTGGAGTCTGTAAAGTAGAAACTATTTGATAATTCAATGGGAATAACAATGGGAAGAGCCAGTTATTACAACTAATAACGTTCTCATTGATTAAGTAAAGTGTTCGTATATTACATGTGACAAAATCGTAAACGAACTAGATACTTCGTTGTTTGACAGGAAGTCATAGCGATGTCTCGCCTTAGGGTACAACCGAACAGTAGATACAAGATATTTTGGAAAACTTCAGTCAGTTTAAGGCAGTTTGAACGCATTATGAGGCTTTTGTTGTAAGATTTTCAGTTTATATAAATACAGAAGGTATCACAACCACCATTTTATTCATATGAAATTTATTAAAATCGTTTATAATAATCGTATATAAGTGTATGTATATACTTTTAGTTTACAGTTTTTGAATACGCCCACCGCTAGAAATAAATACTATATATTTGTCTTAAAGAGCTTATGTTATATCCGTGTTACTTGTTATATAAAAAAATTCTAAAGCTCGTTATCAATGATACGGCATAAGTTGAATCCCTGTACATTTTTGAGGTTCAAGATTTAACGCGAAAACACAATTTTCATCGATTGCTGGAACAGCTGCGTTAAGTGAATACGTGTACGCTAGCGTAAGTGGATGTAAATTGGCGTAATCTCAGGCCAGTCAACGTCGCTCATTCCTATTACGTATGAATGAAAATCTCGATCCCTGATCAATAATGACCACGAGAAGGGAGTTGCAGAACAATGGTTATTAAGTATTTTACACCAGTACGCTGTTAAATATGACAAACACAATGCTTAATTGACTGAAAACACGCATTTAATATAAAAATTTGAATATATTTCATATATTATATTAAAATATGTCGTAGTTAAAACCTAAAACAAACTAATGTACCCGTTAACGCGTACAAAAACATTCCTCCTTAATAAATTGATTGTATTTATATATTTACGTAGCCGACTGCGTTGAGGATGGCCAACTGACGACACATACATAACCATGACAGGTTCTTTGGACGTAAAACTAAATTTTCTGCGTATTAAAGTTTTACTCATATATATTTTACGCACATTTACGTTATGTTGTACGTACCTCAATCTTAATTGTATTTCTGACTCGAAATTTTATAATGACTGGCATCGATCCGTGGTTCGAGATCACCTTATATAGTAAGATAAATATGTATAGATAATTGCTTAATAATCAAGTAAAAATGTGCCATTGCTGTAATAATGTCGAACATCGAAAAGAGTTAGAATATTGCGGTTTTGCTATGAGTTTACCAGTTTTTCTGTAGTTTACCTTATATTAAGAAATTGTATTTTTTTATTATAGAGTATATATATGTATTTCTGTTTCGTGTGTTTGTCCCGCACAATGCTGCACGTAAGCATGTAATCGCTAAAATTCGCTATAATCGAAACTTTCCCATTCGGCATAGCCTACCGCATTTGCCTGAATAACAATTATTGCATGAAATTTAAACATTCAGCATTCCTAACGTTTTATTAATTAACTGCTAACAAATCTATTTGATTCTATTTTCTGGTTAGAGCGTTTCGCGATTTGATTACTAAAGTCTGTCAAAAATGGATGCTTAGAATAATTGAAAACATGCTAAAGTAATGCACACGGAAGAATTGTTTATAAATCCAAGGCGAAAGTCGTCGTGAGAGAACGTCGTCAAGTCCATTAACGGAGAACGTTGCATTATCGATATTTCTATTTAAACAATATATCGACCAGTTTTCTGCAGTCACTCTTTATTATATTTTTATAAAGGTCATTGTAGATGTTGATTAAAACGCATTTGTGCATTGCAACTCATTGTGAGATGAGATTCGTGGCGTCATTGAAAAATAACTCGATATTTTCGTCTTTTTTTCCTCATTTTTCAATACCATTGTATGAATTTAAACGCAGGTTGAATTGTTTTCGTATATATATATCGAGATTGAAACAAAAGTGGAGCGGTGCTGTATAAATAAATATGTTTTGGACTAAGTTAATCGGCTTTAGTATCGATCAATTTGTCAGAACAAATCAATCCTGGTGGCGAAGTATTTCAACCCCATAAAAAGCTGACTATCAGTTGCTAAAAAAATATTTAAATATTTTTGGCTATTTTAGGTTTGATTTCAGGTATGTGGCGACCTCCTCACAAACGCTTTATCAAAAGCAAAACCATAACGGGTCCCTCGAAAATGTCGTGTCTCACTTGTCTCAATTAGTTGAATCTCGCTCCAAACCTATCGTTATCTTGCCGCTCAGCTATGCATATCACGTTCAATATAATCAAAAATGTCAGGCAAGGTCTTTACGGGGTTAAAACGAGCGCGTTTGGAATCCGATATCGGATGTCAAATCGATCATTCCTCCGACAGACGCGTAAGTCGTTTCGCGCATAAAGTTCCAAAAATAGAACTGAGAATAATCAACCAGGTGCTTTAATTCTGAAGAAATAAATCCAAGAGAAAATGCTGCGTTAGGATATTCTGGATTTAATTTGTCTACTTGCTTTTAGTCGTTCAGTATTTGCGGACCAGTAGGCTCATTTGTTTGACTCATCTATTTGTGGTATTGTTTTGAAATGGAAAAGGTTCGATAGTTGGAATTTATATTAAAGGTTTTGTAACACTGTAAATGAATGAAATTTTAATTGATGTAATTTTCTAAAAGCACAGCATAAGAAATCGTGTTTATACCAAATATAGCATTTTTGCGCTGAGATGTGTACTAAATTTTAGATAATCACAAGTTAGAAATCTGATAAAAATTAGCATATAATATATGTGCTCATATTCGGTTGTGGTATGATGATATAGTAATGGATCTGTGGAATAATTCAATGAGTTTCATTCAGATAATATTTCAATTCAACAAACCGCATCATAGACGATTGGGAAACGGTGATTATTTGCTATTTTCCTATTACAAGCGCTCATGGTACCGTGATTCGGTCGTCGCCGGAACTTTTCGGCGGCCCTCGCCCCATGACTAGCCGTAGCGGATTGAAACCTAAATTTTAAATGAAAAATTTAACTAAATCGAAAGATTCAGAATCGGAAAGAAATCTATATCCAAAATTCAAAGCATCTTTATTCCTGGAATAAGCATTCGCACATATATTAATATTATGATATTGTTGCTTTCGCAGAGTCTAAGTCTTTTTAGAACAATATACAATGGGCCACCAAAAGTCAAAATTGACTCCTTCAGATCTCACAGAAATTGCCAACAGCACTGAATTCACTGAATATGAAATTCAGCATTGGTACAAATCTTTCAAAAAAGATTGTCCGTCTGGGATACTTTCACTAACTGAATTCAAGAAGCTTTATGGTGAATTCTTTCCGTATGGAGATGCTTCGTCTTTCGCAGAACACGCTTTCAGGTTGGTACAATAAACTAATCTAACATTATACCTTCACCATAATCTTCCAATAAAGCCATTCAATGCTTTGATTTTGTCGCACCTTGCAATCTTTTATTGTTATGTACGCCGCAGCACTGCCGAAAAGATGACAAGATTCAACGATTCCAAACTGTTGGACTCTAAAGATTTGAAACTTATCGTTTTGGGGCGAGTTGTTTCATTTAAGAAAGTCACAAAACGTGGAAAATCTGACATAATGGCGAAGGAGACAACTGAGACTATAAATCGATAAAGTTTTCGTTTCGTGTACTATTCTTTTTTACTAATGGATCGGAACGGATTTGGAGTAGTTCTCAAGCTTTTATGGTCCGTGACCCACTTCCAAATATTCTCGAATGTGACTGTTATATATCATGGTGATTAGTACCTAGTCTTTAGTCCTGGCGCCCAGAGAACCGCTCACACTCTCTGTCCCCTTAGGGCGAGGGCCCAATCGAATCAGACAATTCGCAAAAGCATTGTGGTGTCAGTGGAGGTTATTTTCGCTAATAGAATGTGGAAATTGCCAAACTTTCGGCAAAATATGATAAATTAAAGTAAATAATTGTACCAAACAAAAGCAGTAGTATGGAAAATTTACAAACATATGGATGACAATACTGAACAGCCATGAATAGGTCATTGTTACCAAGTACTTGTTACTCTCAAAATCCTAATGGCGGAACTCAGTATTTTGAAAGCTTAAATACGAGCGGTGGGTCATTTGCATTCTATACCACAATATGAGGTATTATATTATTTAATGTAATGAATACTAATGAACTTTACGTATAAATTATTCATCACACATGTGGAATCTTATAGCTAACGAGTATTTGATATCATATAGAAAAATATAAATAGTGCGTTTACGTAAGCCGATTTGATAGCCTAAAACTCATCATTAAGCTTCTCCAAAGTTACGTTTTGTATGCAGCGATCGACATCTGTGATTTTCAATTACAAAACAATTACTGACTGGGTGAGTGCGGCTTGTGCAACATAAAAACATTGATTGATTGTCATCGATCTTCCGAGTATTTCTTCAATCGTCAAAGATTTCACCTCCTCGTATTCGCGTTGTTAATACCAGAGAAACACAGAGAAGTTAACAACGATATTGTTGGTCAGCACAAATTGACGTCAAATATAACACCACCTGATATAAGTTTTATTATTAAATTCTCTAGTTTATAAGTTATGCGATGCTTTCATTTTTTTTATATATAACTCAAAAGCACATATGCCGTCAATACGTAAAGGGAATGGGGTCACTGTGTCATGACCCCCTTGCGCATTTTAATAGTATCACGATTCATATTTGGTACTATGACGTCTATTTTCAATAAATACACGCGTTTTAACTTTATTCCGATGTTCTTCTTCGCTATGCATCAAGTATGCAAGCATTTACTGTATGATTTCATGATTATATAAGTTTTATCGTATTTAGTTAAGAAGATTAACAGGAGAACATAACATTGGGCTGCTTTTCGCTCCCTCTTTTTCAATCAAAGATCCTAGTTTCCTCTTAGGTCATCGCGTTCATTAAAAGCATTCGTTAAAGCCATTATAACGTTGTCAACTCATGTTATGCTTTATTTCAAGGACATTTGACAAGAACAAAGACGGAACAATCGATTTCCGAGAATTTATGATTGCACTTTCGGTGACATCCAGAGGAAATTTTGATGATAAATTACAATGGGCTTTTAATATGTACGACCTTGACAAGGACGGCCACGTGACTAAAGCAGAAATGTTGGAAATTATAAGGGTAATGGAAATTATTATACGTATAAGGAGATTTCATGGCCCACAGCCTCTGCAATTGATACAACAACATTACGCATAATCCGCATGTATGCTAATAGATTGGGGCGTTTATCCTGTCCGTAAATACCAGTAGTCTATCGATTCACTATAATGATTTTAATGGGCTATCAATTTACTTAATTTAAATTTTCAGTTTCCATTGTCCTTTGAATGAATATGTGGTCTATTTTAATAGATAATGAATAATTGATATATACTCGGATATAGGATTCTGTATCAATTTGGGCTACCCGTTTGGTTCAAATGCAAATCAAGTATGAATATCTAAGGAAATTTGTGGGTGAGATGTAGGCCAGATTATAACCAAAATTATATAGAATTTACTATGACATACTGTAATCAACAATTTAACTCGCAATAACAATGCGACAGGCATTTTAAATATGAGAACGGCAGTGTTTACAATAGTTGGCGAAATGATTGGATAAATGCGGCACTTGCCCTATAGCATTTAAGGATTACGATTCCTCGTTCGGCCTTAATTAATACGACACCAGCACCACCAAGGCTTAATATATTTCGTCCCGCTAATAACCAAATTGCGTACGTCACTTTTTGCGGTTTTGAGTTTTTCATGCAATAGTTATTATGTAAAGCTGCGCACCAGTCTGTTAACTCAGATTTTATCAGACTAAATAATTGATCCACGAGAAATTGTTCACTCTTAATGGCATAAGAATCTTCAGAAAGTTTTCTTATGTTTTTCTCAAAACCGACAAAAATATCTTGCGCACTTTTGTTATTAGCGTCACGATTTGCTGCTCCCATTAAATAACCTGTTCACGTGGTTTAATTTTTTTTTTTTGATGTCAGTTATCATATTGAACAAGCTAAAATTCAATTTAAAGTTGGAGATGGTGAACTCATCAACTGAAGTGTATTATATCATGATTCAAATCTCAAATATTATTTCTGTAATACTAATCCTAAAAACCGTGATTTGATGATTTTCTGTGATTTACGGACGACCGTGAAATGCTTTCGAAGTTCTTCTAAAGGTCGTTTATACCAAATTATCTGGATCTAGGAAGCAATCAATAGTAAAACCTTTTCCAGGATTTAATATTGTTATCAATTTATATTGGTACTCCTATGACACGGAAATTCATTATATAATTTGCAAGCCACTATCGAATTTGCTATGCAAAAACTAATCGCTTAATCGACATGAGAGAGTAATCAGTGAAAAGCGCTGCAATAACGGTTCGTCATATTTACCTTCAGCGTAATTAGACAACAACAAAAGCACAGCAATTTAGAGGCGCAGTTCTTACCACTTCATGGCAGCTCCTGCCACGAACGTACCACGCCGTCTCCTGCCATGGTTTTATGGCGCTATTACCGGTATATTTACAAATTCATGTACCATATTTTAGTTTATCATGCGAAATTATATCTACTTAAACCCTAACCCTAACCCCAAATCCATCCAAACTGTATCCATAAGAAAAACATTCCAACTCACCAAATATTTATCACCATCAGCAGATTAGGGGCAGCCCTGCTATTACAGCCGACCTGCCGTGGTTACGGCAGTAAAATTGGTGGTATTCGATTTGCTGCCGTAACCACGGCAGCTCGCTATTGGTTTGTGGCAGCTAAAAAGTCAGTCGCCGTGGGTTTGGTCTTAGTGGCCGTGGTTTGGAAATCCCGCCATGGTTTTGCGGCAGCTGTAGACGCCACAAAATACTTGAAACTGCACTTGGCAATTTAGGTTATAGATAGTACAATTCAATAGAACTTCAATGCACAAATAGTAGGGAGTAGAGACAATGGTTTTTGTTTGAGTAGCATGCTGTTCAATTTATTTCCATTGTTGCTACCTATCACCGAATCACACTTTTTTTTCTGCTCATCCCAGGATACCATATAATTTTATTATTTTAATTTACATTGGAAAATCCATGACATGGTAAAATGGCTTCACTTTATAACTTATCATTCCCTATCCCACTGTACCTTTATACCTTTCTAATCTTCTGGCTGAAATGCAACCATAATAATAGATTTTGTGGAAATGCTTTTTATTAATTTTTTTTTTATTTTTTTTTGGAACTCCATCTATTTTGGCTGAATCCAGAATTTCAAAAAAAACCTTACAATAGTGAGTATTTGATACATACCTTTATCATATTTCACCAAAACCTGTAAGATCACATTTTGGCCAGAACAGCCATAGACCACTTATAACACTGTCGCCCTTGAGTGGTGCATACCATATATGTACCCACCCTTTAAACTTGACCATTCCCGCGTTTTATAGTATGTGGTATCATCACTCAATGGTGTTGTACATTCATCCAAATTCTTAATTTTTTAAAAAAAAATTTTTTATTACTATATTCATATGCAGTGTGTTTCATGTTGTGTTGTGTCTCTATTTATAGATGTTGTTTTGTCTAACAAACTCCTTTGTACAAACAGTTTTGTACACTCCACCCTTATTCCTGTTACCACATCCACCCACCCTCCTTGCACAACTGCCTGTATAAATGACCATATTGTACATATTTGATTTACCCTATTATAATTTATATATATCAAAAGGGGTGTATGCCGCACATCTGTGTTTTAGGCCAATAGGGTCTTGTGCATACATCCCGTCTTCAGTATTTATAATTACTTACTATTTTATATTGCTTTTACGAGACGAATAAACATACATACATACAACACACTATGTAGTTCATATTTTCCCTTATGCCGAAAATAAGGCAAAAGTTAATGTAGTATTCACACTCGTAAAACACTTGGTTTTTAGAAATGCATGAGCTTTGACCGGAACCTTTGGTCTATGGCGGGTTGTTCCGAATTGCGCTGTTTACGAGAGCTTAAATTCTGAGCGGCTATTTATTGATGCGCTTGGTTGCAATGCTGATGTATCGCAAGAATAACGAGGTCATATTATTTTTAATCAAATTGGCATCTATTCAAAATTTGACTAGTTTATTCTTGTTTTCGGGCATAATCTCTTCTTTTATATCACACACATTGCAAATATGCCATATACATTACTTCACGTACAGTCCAAAATTTATTATCTGACTTCGAAACACCCTAGGTGAAAAAAATCAATTTTATGAACGGATACATCTTTGGTTAACAAAAAGTTATTCAAAATCGATTCGTAATTCTGCCATGTCTTTTAAATATTAATAACGGAGGGTTGTACGGCGACAAGAGTGTGTTCTACTGTTTTAACCCGTGTATGACCAGTCGGTTATAATTTAACGAGGAAACACATTACTTTCCAATTACGCTAAGTGCACAACTTTAGTTTTCAATGTATCACTAATTGATATCATTCGTTTGGTTCAAACTCCACACAAGTGTTTTATATATTTCATTAGTTCTTTTTTAGAGGAGGCGTTGCAATAAATCTCGCCGGTTTCATTAGCTAGATTGTGGTAGATTTGTGGAATTGGATTTCGGAAAATTGAGGAATTCGATCTTTCTGCTCATGTGTTATTACCGAAATTCGCCTGCAGTGTTTAAAACACTGTAGCACTGATTCAATATCAGAATATGCGACTTAAATGACTCATTAGGATTTTTCGACTCTAGCCTAGCGCAATCGATCTCAATCGAAACCGGATAAAGTGGAATTGGCGAGAAATCCAATTACAAGATGTCCTGTGCCTTGCATTAAAGCGCTTCTAATCAAATTTGCTGGCTGAAAATAGGTGTTGTTCGTTCAAAAATCGATTCACGTGTAAATTTAAAATAAACACAGATGGGCTGTATCGGCTAAATGGGCTTGTTGCTGCGGACACTGACCAGATGCCAACACAGTTGAATAATTGCAAATTTTACACATGGTTTTAGTGGGTATTTACTGTCTTTTTCAATAAAGTTCGGGGTCTAGAAGTTTCATGGTAGCGTTTCGTGACTTTAAAAATACTTGAGATAACTACGAGACGCATTTAATGGAAATTATTCTATTTGAAATGTACGTTCGTATGTCGTGGATGTCATTATATCTCTAAATCCCGATTTCAGTTTCGAGGCTTATATTAGTGCGTGTTGTCAACATTTTATTTTAATTTTCAAATCATTTTTATCTTTAAATTTCCAGGCTATATACAGGATGGTCGGAAGTATTTTGGCGGCGAATATGCAAGACGATCTTACTCCAGAACAAAGAGTGGATCGAATATTCGAAAAAATGGATAAGGATCACGATGAACAAATCACAGCAGAAGAATTTACCGTAGCGGCAAAGGAAGATCCCAGTCTTGTCATGCTATTGCAAATGGGGCAGCAACAACCCCAGGGAAGTGCTTGATTGGTCTTCTCCATCGTTCTTTTTTAAATATCGATTCATCTTTGATCAAGCATGAGCGGAGGTACAAACTGTTTTGGAGCTGAAACAGTGTAATTTTATCTGTCAATTATTTTTAGACGAATAATCGAAATATAAATTGCTTCTTTTTGACTAAACTCACGCATAAGTTTTATATACTAAGCGAGTACCAGACTGACTCTAACAAATGCTCATATGACTCCATATTATAATGTCCAAGTTTTCGGTCCCTACTTGATCCTGTGAACCCGATTTTCCTCCGAATATTTGTATTCTCCCATTTTCGTTTCGCTTGCTATTTTACTCTTTGTCTTCTTTCTGAATATCTTTCCTGTGTACAGAAAATGCTTCTGCAATATTATTATGATTTGTACTCGTGCAAAAACTGCTAGTTGCAAATGTGGGATTTTGCTTGAAAATAAAAGCATGTGCTCACGTAATTCACTGTTTAAAGTTGTCTAGGTTATGATTCATTTGACAAAACATTGAAATGACCACGAGTGTCAAAGCAGCTTTAATTCAATTGAACGATTATTGAAAAAAGTGATGGCATAAACGTAGTCAATGTTTTGTTAGTTAAGCAGAAAATTCCATAAGAAAAAATTCCATTTCAAAAAATTAAACATAGTCAACCCAGGTTGATACGCGAGTCTATAGCCACCTATGCATTTTCCGTATTTCCATTGGTGGATAAGCATGCTTAAATCAAAAAATACATTTGCTAGAGTAAGGATGTTTATTATGAGTGATTAACAAAAAATTATTTCACGAAGCAACATGACATTTGTCGAGCGAATAGTTACTGTAACATATTTAAGTTGGTGTATAATATGGTTCTCTACCAATTAAAAATAGAATAGGATTACAAAAGTTAGAACATCAAATATTTAGGCATTTTGGAGTGTAGCAATAGGATAAAGGCCGAAGTATGAAAAACTGTTACAAGGGGGTACATTATACACAGGACAAAACAACGATTATGAACAGAGACAACACAACATAAAATGCATTGGCTATTTGTACATGATAATGATAAAAACAACATGAGGCATATGCAGTACACTTGAGAAAAAATCGTTTACTTTTATATGGTATGAGTCACTCATAGGTTATCGTGCCCTACTCCTTAGTGGACTAGGTTTATGCAAACAAAAACTGTAAAGAATTCAGCCTAAAGTGACGGAGATTAAACATATTTAGTATAAAGCATTACAACAAAACTTATTATGTTTGTATTTTTTGTTGTAATGCAAAAAATATTGAGATAAAATTTATGGAGGACATCAAATAATAATGAATCATAGCTGTAAGTTGGCAACGTGATATACATATATATATGCCACAAAACATGGAAATTCAGATGTCGTAAACAGTATTGTTCGAATTTTTGTGATATTACCAGCTTGTCCATGGGACATATTTTTCTGTCCCATTCCCATCTCATAGCAATTATGCCTGTCCCATCCCATGGGTTTCCCATTGGAATGCAATTCAATAAAAATTATTAAATTTGGGTTTTGTGTCTACTAAATAGGACTACAACTACATGTACGAAGAGACATGCGGAACAACAATTTTACTGACTTTGTTAACTTTATAGTTATAACTATTATACATGTGTTCATCAGTCCTTTCAAGGAGTATATTGTTAAGGCTGAATATATTTTCGTGGCCCCCGTGCTTCATGGGAAATACAAATGTGTGCTGTCCCATCCCATCACGTGGGACGTTTCCCATAGGTGAGCCTGGATATTACATCCTTGCACTTATAAAATCAAGTTCGGTTGATTTTATGGTCTTTGATGGTATTTTATTACGTTTACGTTGCAATTACTTTACGTTATTTTTTATATTCCGATCAATAATTTCGTACGCGTTTTTACCGCATTTATTATATGACCCATCAGCTTTTGGAGAATATTATAATTTATTAGATTGCGACTTTTTATATATCTCTCCATTCATCCGCCTTGAGCTGCGGATTTATTATAGGCTTACCATACGTCCCGATTTAGGCGGGACAGTCTCACTTTTCAACGTCTTGTCCCGGCGTCCCAACAAAAAAGCCATAAGTACCGCTTTGGCGACCAGTCAGTATGCGTATTGCACGAACATTACCAATTAGCACAGGGTGGTCCAAGGTTGCAGGGCCGCAAAAGCTTTTGAGGAGGTCTCGCTGGTCGCAGTCGGAGAAAACCCAAAAGTGATCTAAACATCGCGAGTTTACTGACTTTAAATATATTTAAGAATGAGAGTTTACCGTTCTAATCAGTTTTTTGAGAAAACTATATAAAACATTTACTTATTTCAAAATTGCTTCCCGAGAAATATCGTGGTATTTTCGGTATCTTTTCTCGTGTTTGGTTTTGTAATGTCGCTTAAAATTATATTCTTTCGTGACGGATATTACTTGAAAACACACCAGACACTGTAGGTAAGGAAAGACGTTTCCTCTCAGTTTACTTCGGTCAACTTTTTTTCTACTCTCATTGTATGATGAATTGTTATATTTGAAAAAAAAATTATTACTTGTCGCGTGAGCAGGCTTAATGTTATAGTCAAAAAACAACAAAGTTCGTCGGAGTTGCGACTTCACACCAAGATATAAAAAAAACTGGATCGCGCGCGCTAGGTCAGCTGTGGTTCGCCACCGCTGTCACGTGGCCAAAGGTTGAAAATAGAGGAGTGTATTGACTAAAATGAAGTCACAAAATGTCTCTTCAAACGAGAGGAGTTAAATGACGCGAGTTCATCTCATCGGCTTAGTCCTGTCTGCACAAGACTTTGCGATCGATCATAGGAAGTCATTCCCATCATATATGCACCGTCATGACGTTTATAGATACAATATTGAAATGATGAAATTTTAACAAACCTCAATCCCAACATCGGGATTAGGAAAAGCACTATTCCCAGTCGGAATAGTTTGAAAAAATGAATCGAAACTATTCTGCTAATAAATACAAATATCTGCCAATGGTTTAGTAGTGTATACGCTAAAATTGTATTGCGGGCCTACTTACTGAATGTGAATGCGTGGTTTTGTTTGCCTCGTTGTTGTCCGTTACATTTGTAGCGTACCGGCAGTCTATGAAATATTTATCCAAGTTCAGAATATCTTCCAATATGGTCTGACGTCAAAGAGTTCTTCTCAATATTCACTTCAAGTTATGATATTTTACTCTATTTATTAATTATCAATCTTAATACAACCAAATACTCCAAAGCAACGGAAAGCATACAATAAAAATTACAATACCAGGCAGCACAATGCAAGAAAAACCATATACACAATAAAAACATTTGACGGCCCCTGAAATCAGAGACATTACCGATACAAGCCACATGACCCCTAGAATCCGGTACACTAAACTAGCTACTACAATTCAGGCTGAAAATAACTTATGACAGGCATTTAAAAAGACCATAAACAATTCTATATGTGCACAACATTCGAACAGTACTGATGATAGCTAATTCCATGACAACAACCAAAAAATACAACACTAAATGAACTGCAATGGCACTGCACGCAAACAGCAACATGTTCCCAACATCAGTTCACTGTCCAGCACAAAAAACATCCAACCAATCCCAGTCAAACAGTCACAAAACTACAAACAAACATCCCCGTTAACTAGGCTTACCATAAGTCCAGTCTCGCTTTTAGCGTCTTGTCCCGCCGTCTCGACAAGTCAGCCAAAAGTCCCGCTTTGGCGTTCAGCCATTCAGCATAATACACAAACATGTTCTCGTTACTGTTGTTGCTTTGTAGCGCAACGCTAGCCTACTTGCTGAAAGCGAATGCGCTATTTTGCTTGTTTCGTTGTTTCCCCGCTAACATTGTTAGCGAACGTATCACATGTAATATTGAACAACGTCTTTTCAACGTTTTGAAGAAGGTGTTATCTACCAAAAAGCATGATTGGGCGAATAAGTAAATTCTCAATGCTTGAAAACGCCAGGTAATTTTATTAATCTGAACCCGATATTTGAACGGAGAATATGCGCATGATCTCTCGATGACAATATGGTCAATGAAGACAGCCGGGATGGTTTAAAAAGTAGCCCTATGTTACGTAGTAAAATTGGAAAATGTAAAATTACAAATTACCAGCTAGGGGGTCGTTGTCTTTGTAGGCGTCCCTCTTTGAAGTCACAAAAATATGGTAACCCTACCGATAACCCACCGGAGACCAGAGGCACTCCCACAAACACAAAACACCCAAAATCCAACCGAAACAACCAAACACAAAAAGATGCTTAACGCTAACGTGAATTCCTTTCTATTTTTTTGAACTGGAACCGATATTTAGACATACAGCGCATGAACTTTCGGTGACAATATGATAAACAAAGACAGCCTGGATGGTTTAAAAGGCCCCTAATCTAAAATCGGTAAATTTAAAGTTAAAAAAAACACAGCTTTGTTCTTTGGAGGCGTCACACTTTGAGGTCACAAAAATATGGTAACCCCAATTATGTATCTTAGTGTGAATATAACTGTAGATGCAACCGCATACACGTCATATGCATTGCATGCTTTTATTCATCAATGATTCGATAATATTTGACTTTGGGTTTGTGATAAATATCAAGAGAGCGATGCTCAAATATACGTTCCCGAAGATTTCACATATCGATGCCGATACGATTAAGCGTGTGGAGTATTTGTACATCGCCTAAATGGATGTATTTGTAAATTGAGTTGGCTATATATGCATGTGACTTAGGAAGTACATTTATAGTTGATTGGCTGTATATGTATATCAGTTGGCGGTATATGCATATTGTTGGGTGTGTATGTATCGCACGTTTGCAACCTCACCGAATCCCATTGACGCGAGCTGCTTCAAGTTTCGCGTCAACCGATATTTACTAACGCACAATCTCACACTATAATTCTTCATCGTGTAACAGTATTAATAAAATATTAAGTTCATTGCTTTTGATCGATATGTCAAGTACAACCGAAATCTTCAGAAAATATTACGAAGGCTCCAGAGTTAATTTTCCAACTTCCTTTCTCGGAGATGAGCTTTCAAACAATTTGAACGATAGCCAATGCCATCTGTCAACGAAAATTGCTCTGAGCTGCGTGTTGTCACTTGCAAGCTTCCATACCTTGAATTTCATTTAGATTGCCTGCGATTTACTTGCCGATCTGTCGATCGACCAAGAATAGGAATAATTTGAAACTGTAGAAGCGACCTCGTCAATTACCAGCCACATAAACAAGAATACAAATGAATAAAATATTTAAAAAAACGAATATTACACATGGATTGGACTATTCTAGAGCAAAGTGTTACGGTAGCCAAAGTCCAACTTAGTTCAATAGCCCCGCAAATAGTCTATGACTGCAATGCATTTATACGCGCTCCCAAAACCTGTCTTGCTGTCTATGATACACTGGAAATATGCAGCTCTGATATTGCTGTTTGAAATGATATTTTAATCCAAGTAAATCCACAGTTAAACAGAATATCCAGTTATTAAATGTAATCCAATAAAGCAACTATACAGGAATTGATTGCGGTAAATGACAATTGTGTCTATCCAACCAATAGTTCTACGATAAACAGATAAAGTAGATGAGCAAATTTACTATGTGCGCTCCCGGTTTCAGGTTCTTGCCGAAGAGGCCTTACGGTAACTAAGAATACACATCAGTGAACCACTGCCCACTAGCGGTAATACACAGGAGCTAACTTTGAAAGGGGGTACACACAATACGAAAACTAACTATTGGCCCCAGTAACATGGCTCCCCAAAAAGGGTTCTTTGTTGGCAAAGAAAACTTTTTTAAAACGAAACATATGTACAGTACAAAAAGTAATAAAACTAAGATGTTGGCTCCTCGTCCGGGGAATCGCCATCTTTGGCTGCACGAACCAACAACACAAGTTTATGTATCGGTCTGTCGAGGTATGTCACCGCTTTTGTTCGTTTGCCTCTGGAATCAAGATTACAATCGGCAACAAGAACTCTAACTTTTCGAATGAGGCCATCCTCAGACGGATACAAGGCATCAACTCTGGCAAGTTGCCATTCATTTCTTGGGGCATTCTCATCGTTCACTATGACAATATCTCCAACACATAAATTCAGTTCAGTTTTAGTCCATTTCCCTCTTGGTTGTAGTGTTTGTAGATACTCCAATCTCCATCGATACCAAAATTGGTTCACAATGTACTGGACTCGTCTCCATCGACGTCTTGCATATACATCAGGTCTTTGAAATTGTCCAGGTGGAGGCAGAAGAACCTTTGGCTTCATCGTCAAAAGATGATTTGGTGTTAATGGCTCGGGTGAACCCACATCACCTAAATTAGAAACTGTAAGTGGTTTAGAATTAACCAAATGTTCAGCCTCCACAAGTACAGTACGAAAACTTTCATCATCAAGCTGTGAACCGAACTTCTGCATAATTGGCTCCAGAGCATTTCGAACTGTCCTTATTTGACGTTCACAACTTCCATGCATATGACTACATTTTGGAACATTAAACTTGAATTCGAACCAATCACACTCATTAGACAATAAATATTCTCTGACCTTGCATTGATCTATCTCACCAATAGCTTTTAGTAATTCGTTTCTTCCTCCAATAAAATTTGTTCCACAATCTGCTCTCAACTGCTTAATTGTTCCTCGTCTTGCTAGGAATCTCCTCAAGGCATTGAGAAATGAATCTGTATCTAATGAATTTGCAGACTCTAAATGAACTGCTCTGGAAGATAAACAAGTGAATATTATACCATATCTCTTTAAAATAGATCTACGCTCCTTTATTTCAAAAGGACCGAAAACATCAACAGCTGAATAATCAAACAAGGCTGCTTCATTCACACGATCCTCTGGAAGATCGCTCATCCTTTGAACCTCAAGAGGTCTTCGGATACGTCTGCATGCAACACATGAAGTTATAAATTGTGACACAGCTGAGGTGCCTCCAACAATCCAATACCCATTTTGACGTATCTCATTCAGTGTCATTCCGCGTCCCATATGATGAACTTTCATATGAAAATGACGAATAATCAAATTAGTAACATGAGAATGTCTTGGCAAAAGCAATGGATGCTTACAATCCATGGGCATATTTGCTCTCCCTATTCTACCACCTACACGAATTAGTCCATCTTCATCGATATATGGATCCAATTTGTAAATTGAACTTCGGCTAAGTTTGTTTCGAATTTTAATTTTGGCTCGATCCAAAATTGCACCAGAAACTGCACAACTTTGCAGCTGCTCTATTTCCTCTGAAAAATGAATTTGCTGTAAACATCTGATAATTACTTTCTCTGAAATCGACAAATTTTCAACTTCCAAATTATTCGCACAATCAACTTTTCTCAGCTTGTGACAAAATCGAATACAGTTGACCACAGCTCGCTTGGCTTTGAACCAAGAAGAAAATATGTCCAGTCTATCAATATCAAAATTATACCCAACAGTATTTTCTTTTTCAACTGTTATGAACGCTGTTGCCTTTTTCATTTCATGTTTCAACAAGGCATCTGTTTTATTATTTGGTACATAGGAAACTTCTGGTGGTTCATAAGCTCCTTTACATTGCAAAAACTCAGGACCATTCCACCATTTTGAATCAGCAATTAACTTTTTTACTGATATACCACGACTTGCCAAATCACTTGGGTTTTGATTAGATTCAACATGTAACCATGTACTAACATCAGACACATCAAGAATTTGTTGTATCCTATTTGCAACAAATACATGAAATCTTTTCACTGGATTGTTCACATAACCCAGCACCACCATACTATCAACCCAAAAATATTCCTTAATATTTTCATACCTTAGTTCTTCCCGTAAATATCTGCTCATTCGTGCAGAAATTGTAGCTGCTGTCAATTCCATCCTTGGAATGGAAATTTGCTTCAACGGAGCAACACGAGATTTCCCCATGAGCAAGGTGCAGTGTGAATCTCCATTTTCATTCACCAATCTGACATATGAACATTGACCATAACCAGACTGACATGCATCTGAGAAATGATGCATTTCAACAACTTTCACTACTCCAAAATTTGGTGGTTTGATGCATCTGCTAATTGTTAAATAATCAATGCCATGTAAGTCGTCAATCCATGCATTGACTCTTGGTTGTACATTCTCTGGGATAGGATCATCCCAATCAATTTTGCTTTTACAAAGTTCCTGCAAAATTTTCTTACCTTCCAATATCACAGGTGACAGAAATCCCATTGGATCAAATATAGAACTCACAATTGATAGAAATCCTCTTCTGGTTCGTGGTTGATTTTTCAATTGCAAATGATAGCGAAAAACATCATCATTCACATCCCACAGCATACCTAGAACTCTCTCAATTGGAAGTGGATCATTATTCAAATCAATTGTTTTTACACTACTAGCCCGATCACATTCAGGAATAGATTCTAGGACTTCTCTCCGATTCGACACAAATTTATGCAACTTTAGACCTGCTTTGGCACACAGAGAAGTACTATTTTTAATGAGCAACTTAGCTTCATTAACAGTTTCGAGAGACTGTAAACCATCATCCACATAAAAATTATCTCTCACAAAATCAGCTGCTTCTATCCCAAATGCCTTTTCACCATCATCTCCAGCTAATTTCAATCCATACATTGCAACACCTGGGCTACTACGAGCACCAAATGGATGTCGAGTCATTCTATACTCAGTTAATTCTGATTCGGTGTTACCATTATTCCACCAAAAGAATCTCAACAAATCTCTGTCTTGTTCTCGTACAACAAACTGATGGAACATACCTTTTATGTCTCCCATTACAGCAATTTCCTCTTTCCGAAATCGGCACAAAATTCCTGTCATTCCACTCATAAGATCTGGTCCAGTGAGCAAATGATCATTTATGCATTCTCCTTTATACAAAGCACTCAAATCGAAAACAACTCTGATGGTTTTCTTCTTACTATGAAAAACAGCAGTATGTGGCACATAATTAACTTTTCCATCACTAACAACAAGTCTATTTTCTGGCACCCTTTCAGCATAATTTTTTATCATATCTTCCATGAATTCAACATATTTACTTTTATACTCTGAATCCTTTTCAAATCGTTTTTTCAATTGCATTACTCGTTTCAATACCATGGGCTTGTTATTCGGTAATTTAACTTGGTCACATTTCAATGGTAAAGGCATTTCATACATTCCATTGTCACATTTAATAACATTTTCAGAAAGTATTTTCACAAACCTTTGATCCTCAATTGACATATTTTCATGCTTACTTTTGTGATCAACAAAATCTATTTCCATCATCTGATTGAGCTGTTGAGGACTTACAATTTCTTTTACTTTTGTGGAAAATACAAATGATGATTTACCATTGCTCTCTAACAGATTTTCCGCTGTGGAACAATCTTGTGTCACTTCGACACGATGAGATATTGAACTTTTATCATCACGTTTGCCATTTTTGCAAACATTTCCAATTATTCCCCAACCCAATATAGACTTTTGACCATATGGATCATTTTCCCGTCCATGAATTATGTCACGAGGCCTTACCGCACTAGGAATGTTACTACCAATGAGAATACTGACCTTCAATTTTGAATCATAAGGCATAAGTTTGTCTGCAATTTTCTCCAAATGTTTCCACTGTTTGGCAACTTCAGGTTTTGGAATTTGTGAAGGGCTCGCAGGTACTTGCTCACGAGTATAAGCTTGTGGAATATCTATCTTTACTTGACGATCCATACTCATCACTTGTAGTCCTCTGATTCTCTGCGAAGACACCAACGCTCCAGATTTCATCATCGTAGAGAGATTTAACTGTGTCTGTACACCTTTCACATCAAGTTGCTTTTGCAATTCCTCAGAAACAAAACAACAATTAGATTGATCATCTAATATGCAGTAGCACTGGATTTCCTTAGATGGATTTTTACTATTTCTCACAAATACTGGAACAATCATAGAATTATGTTTGCCACCACTTTGACCTTCTATGGTGCAAACTTGAGTACATTTAGAATCACTTTTATCAAGAGTTTTATCCACATGGAGGGCAGTCAAATGTAACCTATTGCAAATCTTACATGTAACCCTCTGCTTACAAAAATTAACCCTGTGACCTCTATTAGAACCACATCCATAACACAGTCTCTCTTTCAGAAAAAAGGTCTTCTTGTCCTTTATTGACAATTTACCAAATTCATCACAATCATCTATATGATGACAAACACTACAGAATGGGCATTTGTTCGCATTCATATTTTCTACTTTATGAGCATATGCTCTCGCATTCTGTGCACTTCTATAACTGGAAAAAGACTTACTTTTCTTTTCCCTGTCATCATATGACTTCACATATTCACGATTTTTGTTCATATGTTCAAGCTCAGGAATATTCTCCTTTTCTGACGCTTCATTTACAAATTTAACAATTTCATCAAAAGGTGGATAGCTATTTTTTCCATATTTTGATCTCCAATTTTTAACAGTACCACGCCAAGCATCTTGCAAATAGGTTGGTAAACGTTCAATTACTTTTACACTTTCAACAGAAAAATCAAGTACCTCCAGATCTTTGATCTTATGTTTTGCAACTTTGACTTGGTCAAGGAAATCACCATATCTCTGAATTCCAGCAGCATCACGAAATCTAATTCTTGGCCATGATGCCAATTTGTCAAGAAATGCTTTACATATGACACTTTCATTGCCATATCTTGACTTCAATTTTTCCTTTGCTTCTGCATACGCAGTATCAGACTGTAACAACACAAGATCTTGAATCATTGTTTTAGGATCCCCTGATAAATGTTGACTGAGTAAATTAAGTTTTTGGCGTACATTGGTAGTTTTAGCTTCAATAAGAGCATCAAAATCAGATTCCCAGGCAGGAAATTTTAATGGATTACCATCAAAAATATCAACTTTAATTTGTGGCAAAGCATATGCATTGGCTAGCATACTATTTGATATTGCCAACTCTCTCAAACATGCACTTAAATCATTATTTAAATGAGAAACACTATTCATGTTAACTTCAGGAGAAACAAATGTAGTGTACGCACCTGATGGAGAATGCTGAAAAGCATTTGCATGTTGTGAATTCATACCTGAATTAATATTCTCACATACAATATCATTTGAGTTATCTTCTCCATGAATTGTTTTCAAACTATGATCCCAATCTGATTTCAAGATCTGTGATTGTTGACTACTTGAATTTGCAATAAAATCTTCTTCATTCAACCCGAAAGGATTTTCAACTTGCTGGACCTTCTTGCAAACTTGTGCTCTTGCCTTCTTCGACTCGAGTTCCTTCTTGTGCAAGTGCAATTCCAACTGGCTTTGCTGCATTAACTTATGCATTTGAAGTTGACTTTCATCAGCCAAAATCTTCATTTTTCTTTGATATTCCAGCTGTAGTGCTTGAAGATTGAGCAACTTCTCTTCTTCCACGGATTTTACTTTAACTTCGAGTTCCCCAACATCCTTCTGTAAATCATACCATTCTTGCTTACTGTCAAGAGCAATCTTTTCTGATTTACGACTAACATTACTAGATGCAGATGTCCGATATGTGGAGCTTCTGGATGAACTTTCATCTCTCTTTTCCATGAGATTATCAACAGTTTCTTCAGCAATCCTAGTCGCATCTTTCACTTCTCTGTCCACTTGTTGAATACCCCGAAACAAAGATGTCCTCTCCTTTCTTGACACCATCTCTTCAAGCGCTGACCACATCTCCATTAATTCCCGTGAAGATGCACGCATTGCAGATGATGCTCTTAGGATATGGCTAACATGCTTTGCTGTTTCGCATAGTTTCACAAGCTTCTGACAAAGTTTAGATACGCTTTGCCTCTGTTGATCAAACTCTTGTTTCCTATTTTCCACAACTTTCGATGACGGTCTGATCTTTCTCTTTGTAATGTTTACAATATCACCATGTTCCATGGATGCTGGCTCAGAAGTTACATGTTTACCTTTTGCAAACCTTTTTCGCGCAGATTTCATCATGAAATAAATCTGTTTACACTGTCACCCAAACGGAAAGCAACACTGTTGCCAGTCAGTTACTGTAAACTCCTGGAAGTTAAATGACTAGGGAAACTCTTCAGCTTTTATCAGTGCTGTCACCACTGATAATCTACTTTTTCCTTTCACAACAGTACTCAGGCCTCCAAGCTGGAACTTCCACTCTTCTAAAGGCTGATAGACTTTGTCATTTACTGTTACGCCTTTCTACTAAAGGCTGGAAGATATGTTGTCAATTACTTCCACTCTTCTTAATACAACCAAATACTCCAAAGGCTGATAGACTTTGTCATTTACTGTTACGGTAGCCAAAGTCCAACTTAGTTCAATAGCCCCGCAAATAGTCTATGACTGCAATGCATTTATACGCGCTCCCAAAACCTGTCTTGCTGTCTATGATACACTGGAAATATGCAGCTCTGATATTGTTGTTTGAAATGATATTTTAATCCAAGTGAATCCACAGTTAAACAGAATATCCAGTTATTAAATGTAATCCAATAAAGCAACTATACAGGAATTGATTGCGGTAAATGACAATTGTGTCTATCCAACCAATAGTTCTACGATAAACAGATAAAATAGATGAGCAAATTTACTATGTGCGCTCCCGGTTTCAGGTTCTTGCCGAAGAGGCCTTGCGGTAACTAAGAATACACATCAGTGAACCACTGCCCACTAGCGGTAATACACAGGAGCTAACTTTGAAAGGGGGTACACACAATACGAAAACTAACTATTGGCCCCAGTAACACAAAGTGAGGTCACTTTGTTCAAGAATCTAGAGCAGGGCTGGCTACTCAACTGGCGGACCGCGGTCCGAATCCGGACCTTTCGAGTATTGGATTCGGACCGCACCTAATTCTTTATTTTGCATCATTAACCGCACTTTTTAAGTTTTTTTTTATAAAATGACTTCCATTGTTTTGAATATATATGAAAAGAACTATAACACTATATTAAACAATCTTGATTTGCTAATAATCATTAGCCGGCCGAGGAAGTGCGCGTTTAAGGATGTCGAAATATAATTTCTGGAGAGACGGGACCCAAATAACTTTGAAGTTTAGTATGAGGATCCCCCGTAAAAATAGTAGCGAGAGAACAATTAATCTCGTACTTTGAATTCTTGCTCTTTTTTTCTCGTATTTCTCTCGTATGGCGATATGTACCTACGCGCCAAGAGAAACAAAACAAAGCGATATTCATTGACCTACATTTCAAATTCCGCGATTCAGGCCGCTTACTGTTGACGAACTGTCTGCAAGTGAGGTCGATTTATTAGAAGTACCTAATGATTGACTTTTACGGGAATTTCGGTAAAGTGAAACCACAGCTCAAGGCCGCGTGTTGTGTAATTTGAGTTTTACGGTCATCGTTTCAGAGGTTGAAATACTTCAGATCATGAATGTACTCAAAAGTTTGCGCGCCGTGGTTTCTTCTGCATACACTCGCCAGACAGACAGGCAGTTTTCAGGTAAGTTGATTAAAAAATCCAGAGATAGTAATAAATTTTCTTAAAAACAGAATTTTAAGGCACGCACTATTACCTCGAATCTAGTTATCATCCAAATGGAAAAGGACATTGTCAGCCGTCATACAGTGGATGGCATTGGCCAAGATGGTAAAAAATAAAACCATTAATTTATTATTTGCTCGTAAAACAATTACCACATAATTTTGCAGATAAATTCTGGTCGAGGCATCACATCGCATCAAATGGATATTATTCAATTAGGTAAACGCCCTTTATTTTTATTTTTGAACCAAGTATGTGTATGTAGTATGTACACACGTTAATTCCATTCTAAATTTGACTATGGTAAGAAAAATATTAGAAAATTTAGTACTAAACATTCGTTATCAGTACATGCGCGTAATCAAAACATCGAAAGAGGTTATTGATTTTGTTACTGTTAAACCGATTACTCATCCTTCTTCTATGTTTTTGTGCCGTGCCATACAATGAAAGATATCTAAAAAATTACATAAAATGCAAATTTCTGCTCTGCTGATCACATTTCCCATAAGAGCTAATGTTGAAAAAAATTTTTTAAATCACTTTTATTTTTGCGCGTAGGATGAGTTTTAAATGACTAAGGGCTATTCATTCAATATTCAAGCAAAGGCTGAGCAAAGGTATGCATTCATTTATTTGTCGGCGTGGAATCGCGATTAAAAAATCATGATATTTCATTCGGTATGACATATTTTTATACGTTTGCATTCTGCACTTCATAAGAAAGTACATAAGAAACGCATCTGTATTGGCCAACACGGCTTATGTTCAACAATTACTTAATTTTTAATCCTGAGTTTGCAATAAAATACGAGAGAGTAATACTCAAATATACGTACCCGAAGATTGAACGCAGCGACGCCGATACGATGAGGTCCTTACGCGCCTAGTATTTTTCAACAGTAGCAACAAGAATTTAAAAAAACAATCTCTACTCGTATGTACACTTTGTGTCCAATAAAACTTTAAATCCGATATACTTTAACTATTTTTAAAGACATTACCGAGCAGCGACATGCTCAGAATTGGGAAAACCTTTGCAAATAACTGAAGAAAAATCAAAAGAACTTAAACCGGACCAAGTTAGTTTACCTTTTATAGATTGTATTATTGACCTCCACGATAAATATATATATATATAACCTAGCAAATTGTCTTACCAAAGAAAAAAAAGGATTGTATGGGATAAAAATGATTTGCTATTTTTGATTTGCTATTCGTTTGCTATTTGACTAATTTCTTACTCGTAAACTCTAGTATTAATAGATTGATTGTGTGTTGGAGAATCATATTGAGACTAGTATGTGGCTGAGTTCAAGGCTCATCTGCCCACGGCAGGTCGATTTATTTTTCCGTTTTTTTAATTTGAAAAATCTTTACAGATCAGGGTGAAGATTCATGCAGCAGGAGTGAACTTTGCGGATGTTCTCATAAATAACGGTTTATAGCAAGTGAAACATGAACCACCTTTTACGTCAGGCTTGGAATTTGCTGGTAAATTTAACAGTGCTTTGCGTTACTGATGTGTCAAAAACCAAAACGTATAACCGAAAATTTTTCACTAGGCGTCGTCATTGAGGCCGGGAAAGATACGAAGACTAAAGTAGGTACCAGGGTAGTTGGAATGGAATTCATGACTGGACATGCAGAAGAAACATGTGTACAAGAGAACGTGAGTGGTACTCTATAACGACTTATATTCCCCCTTCTTGCGATTAATCACGTGTAATAACCGGAAACGCTTCTGGTAAAACAAACGCCAATGTGACCGCCTTTTTTGCTCAATGAATGCCACGGACCGGTCATGTTTTGCTTATGAAATACAGTATTTTGTGATGCAGGAGTCACTTATGCAAATTTGGTTTCATTTGTTAGGTAGTTCATCGAATACCCGACAATATGAATTTTGCCACGGCGGCGAGTGGAATAACATCATCATATGCAACTGCGGTAGGTGCATTAGAGTCAAAGGCAAGAATTCGGCCCGGGTAATTTTTTTTAGTTTTGTTTACTTTTTGGCAATTCTGTAGATATTTAGCTTTAGAGCTCGACGATGGCGAGGAACTGTAAATGACAAATTGCGTATCATCGGGCTATTTGTATTCGATGACATGTTACATACCCATGTAATTTATTGAGATATTATTATTCATTCAGTAACCCCAGTTGTTATTGAAAAACATTTAAAACGAATGGGGTATATGCCTATGTCACAACTACAAAATACAAACCTAATATACTGACTGGTATAAATTGAGTATGTATACTGAATAAATTCTAACAATTTTGAAATGTCTTCTCGGAACATAGCCTCACTTAACTGGATATCTCATTATGCTATAAGATTTTTACTTCTAAGGCATTGTAACTTGTATGCAACGAAGGCTTTAATTTTCACAGAGAAAAGTTACTTGTGACGGCTGCTGGAGGTGCTCTTGGACTTGCTGCAATTGATCTTGCAAAAAATGTATATGGTGCAGAAGTGATTGCTGCTGCTGGTGGAACAGACAAGTGCAATTTTCTTGAGCAGAAAGGATTTAAAACCATAGATTACAGGTACAGAGCATAATTTGCGACGTAGAGGTGAGTTTATATATATATATACTACAAGAAAATATATCAGCCTTGAAACAGTTTCGTAACCCCCAGACCGTTTCATGCTTGATTAGTCTGTGATCTTCAGGTATTATTATATATATGGTTTTCACTGCCTATAGCCTTTCTGAAATTCGGGTGAAAACATGGACAAATACGCCTGGCATCTTTTTTCAGATGTCGAATTTCACATTTATGTCGCAATTTCCGTTCTTTTTGCTAAAAAAACATAGTTTGAAAGTAACTATATGAATCACATATGAGTAAGAAATCAGTCCAGATTTTTTTTTACCAGCAAAGAGAGTATTAAAGAAGCGGTTAAAAAAGCTCATCCTAAAGGAGTGGACGTTGCACTTGATTCAAATGGAGGAGATCATTTTATGGAGTGTTTCAAGAGGTATTTTTATGGAGTAAACAACGTAGCATGGAGACCTCGTATATATATTTATATGATTCAATACCAAATGAGGACAGTAAAAGAATATTTCTCAAATAAACTACTCGTATCGAGTTTGGGGCATTATAATGGTAAATGACTCTAGTTCTTAACAATAAATAGAACACATTTTTTGCCGTGTTGTGATATATTAATAAATATTTGAAAATTATAGTTTACCATCCTTACGAGATGGGGGCTTTCATTTTGAACAAAGTTGAAAATGTTTCAGTATGGCGGTAGATGGAAGATTACTCTCACTTGGGTTTAGTACAGGAAAATTTCCTTCAGTTCCAGTTAATCATATGTTGGTGAAAAACATAACTGTTACTGGATTCTACTGGGGTATATACCATAAATATGACGTTTCATACGAACGGTGAGTCATTGCTAAACCAATCTCATTAAAATACTTCTATATTAACTTGAAATTTAATAACTATTTTTGGACACGAAATTCACCTATGAGGAGGTTTGTTATTATGTTGTTCTTGTTCGCATTTTTTTTCATATCGTTATAAAAAAAATTTTTTTTTTAAATACTGGACCTACTGCCTTGAAATTTTCAGTGGATAAAAATTACATTTTTCGCCAGTAGGCGAAATATTTATTTGAGATCGGTTGACTTAAACAGTTCCTATCAATTTTAGTGCGACTGTTCATTAGTTGTGGATTTGCGTTGGGCAAATGAGTTTCATGAGCGTATTATATTTCCAGGTGGACTATTAATGAAGCATTCCGATATTTTACTGAGGGAAAAATCAATCCTTATATCGGAGCAACATTTTCGCTAGATAATGTAAGCATCCAATCGTACTTGTTTAAATTAAGTAAAACTGTATTTCAACCTGGCGGTTTGGGGAGTAGGACTCCCTATCCAATTAATAATTATTTTCTATTAAACATAAATTGGTACAACAACTGATACTCATAGTAATATAATTGCTTCGAAAAATAAATAATTTCGCCAATTAGTAACTGACATGCTTCAAAACATAATTCTTCATACATAATTCAACAGATCAATGATGCATTCGCATACATAATGAAGCGCAAATCCATTGGAAAAGTTGTTATCGAAATTCAGTGATGATATTGTGCAGAAACCTTCCTATAGCCTTAATCTGCAGTGAAGAATATTACTGAATGATGGGACGTATTTGAAACTGTGCAATATAAACTTGCATCAAATGACAACTTTTATACAATTTTTTTGATTCTGTTCAGTACGATAGATACATTATTATTCACAAAACGTCAAATAAACCACATAATTAATTAAAGTAAAATAGAAAGATTCACGAACCATAAGGGTATTTTAATGTCAATAAATGCCTATATCTATAGAACAGGAATCCTCAAAGACCACACTTCGTTTCATTACCCTGAGTATGTGTAGAAAAGACCGATCCCTGGGGCAGATTGATTAACTTCGGCTGCATGCCGAGAGAAACATCTCCTAATGACGTGCCTTACTAATGTCACTGAAAAGTGAAGCAAATATCTTGAACATGACATCAAAAGTTTATTTAAAACTCCGGTATACACTAAAATACAAATGGAGATTTTTGGAGAGGCAGCAAAATCTTTATTAAGGTTTAAAATGCGTCCATTTACAACAGGGGTCGACAATAGGGATTACAAGTCTTGGCGAGCCGCAAATATATTACAAATGACATTTAATGGGACACCTTATGTTGCATTCCGCTTAATAGCTTTTCGACATCAGGCAGCATGAAGCCAAGATTAAAACATTTTTCAAAAGAGCATCACTCAGCTTGTTTTTTGTAATGTTCTTTTTCGAAAATAATTGTTCGGAGTTCGGACACATATGCAGCCTACTTCCAAACATCGATGCGAATTTTATGGCATGGTTAGTCAAATTTGAATAGAGTTTCCTACAAAAGATACTTTTTATAAAAATCAAGCATGGATCCATCTTTCGAATAGAATATGGATTTTATTTCCACATTGCATTGAATATTTTCTGCGCCATTGAACCCGTGCACTCGACATCAACTTTTCTGCGTTTTGTTGTCACTTGTCTAACTATAATTGAATTGTAAGCTGTTCACTAAATTGTTAGTTACTTATCGATCTTAAGATCGGTAAGTATATTGATAGGTATTTGTCTGTATGTATGTATGTCTGTGTGTGTGTCTGTTAGATGAACGCGATATCTCGCGAACGCGTGGTTGAATCTGCTCCGAATTTTGCATGTGCATGCATCTTACCTCGGACCAGAAGCCTATAGATTTTGAGCGAGTGGAGAGTGGAGCGCCGCGGGCCGAATGTACCAAATCAGTCAAAATATGCATATACCACAAACTCATCATATACATAACAGTATATAGGGAGCCAACCAAATATGCATATACAACCAATGTCATATGCATATACAGCCAACTTAATATACAAATACAGCTATTTGAGTGGTGTGTTTAAACAGCCAATTCCATATGCATATATAGCCAAATCAATATATACATATACGGCCATTCAAGCAATGTACACACAGTCAATGTCATATGCTTATAAAACCAACTTAACATACAGTTGGCTATACAGCCATTCGAGTGATAATTCAGTGGAGCGCCGCGGGCCGAATGTGCAAAATCAGTCAAAATATGCATATACCACAAACTCATCATATACATAACAGTATATAGGGAGCCAACCAAATATGCATATACAACCAATGTCATATGCATATACAGCCAACTTAATATACAAATACAGCTATTTGAGTGGTGTGTTTAAACAGCCAACTCCATATGCATAAATAGCCAAATCAATATATACATATACGACCATTCAAGCAATGTACACACAGTCAATGTCATATGCTTATAAAACTAACTTAACATACAGTTGGCTATACAGCCATTCGAGTGATGTAAATATTCAACCAATGTCATATTATGTATAGTGAACTATATATATATGAATGCATTTAAGCGACATTCATAATAAAGTCAAAGTTATATGCAGCCGACTTAATATAGAGTACATATACAACTAATGTCATATGTACCTATAGTCAATTCAATTGATGTACATACCAAAGTCATATATATGCATAAACAGTCAACCAAGTATATATATATATATATACGGACATTGAAGTGATGTACAAACACCGCCAATCCATTTCATATCCGTGTATATTCGTACCAATGCGTGTTGCATCTATACATGTGTTTGTAATACGATACATAAACAATACACTGTTTGTGGCGAATGGGTAGCTATAAGGAAAATCGAAAGAATTCAAGAAGTCATATTGTCCCACAACATCTGATATAATAATTGCGTAAAAACTTACAGAAACTTCAAAATGGCTATTGATCGAAAATGCTCACGATAAGCGAAAAAGTATAAATATGTAATAAATTAATATAATATAAGCTTCCTACGGCAGTTATCATCACTTTACATTTGTTATATATATAACTGAAAAAGTATCTATTATGCAAAATTTCTGAGATGCCACAAAACATGGAAATTTAGATGTCGTAAGACGTAAACAGTGGTTCTCGAACTTTTGTGATATGACACCTTTGCACTCAAAAGTTCGGTTGATTTATGTGCATGATGTGCGGGCTCAACAAATATTATGGTGTAGCAAACACATAAACCATTCATCATTTATATTGTTATCAGTATAAGCTAGATATTCGTTCAAAAATTTAAAACTTGTCGGATGGATTAAATTGAACTAATCTTTTAATGAATTCAGAAAATAACATTATGAAGTAAGCTTATTAGTAATCATTCACTGCAGTTATGTAATAGTGCGTACCCGTGGTCAGAGGAGTCAATTGAGTATCGGTACAAATTGGATATTTCTGTGATGCCCGGTGCGGCTTTAAACTACTGTTGTAGGAAAAAATAATTACACAGGTCAGATATTTCGGTGTCGTGGATATATATATATATATATACACATTGTTTTCTGGTGGAAGTTCTGTTCTATGGGTAAATATCGCTTTCCAATAATCAAATGTTTTCAGTCTTTGAATATAGTTGAAGTCTGATTCCCCTTTGTTTAGGGTTTATGCCTACTTGCGACTTGATTTCGAGAAAAGTATTTTCATCATATGGGCCATTCCAAGCAAATGTTGAATTCCATCAACTTTTTTGTAATTTTTTTTAAATCAAAAAACATTGGAATTTTATTAGCCTGCATTCATTTCACCGAAGAAGTTTAAATTTCACACAGGTTTTGATGGTTTATACAAAATGGCCTGAAATGTAGATAATTTGGTATAATTGACATATTTTGTGATAATTCGTGACACAAAGTGTTTGATTGTGTGGTACAGTTTTTTCATTTTAAAAAGATGCACTGGACTTAAGTTAATAAAGTTTAAATGTTTGCAGTGCTGTAGGACATGTCTTCATTCATTTAACGATTGATTACAAGAATTTTAAGAGATGATAGAGGCCGCTGTTCCGAAGTGAAAAAATGTCTATGATGTCACGTCCGGTAGAGTCACATACAATATGCACATTATTGGCATGGACCTACACTCTACAGTGTTACATTAGGAACTTGAGCAACACATAGAGGGGTCCTTCAGCTACTGAACCAGAAAATAGTATGGGCTCCTGCTGTACCATCGCAACAATTTAGAGCACAACACAATGTAACGTTAATGCATGGTGGATATTTACGCTATATTTTACTATATATATATACTTTATATCCACTAAGTGAGTCTTGTGTATAACTTTTGTTTAAACTCCATAAAGCAACTGATTGGACAATGAAACAAAACATGTAGCTGAGGTGTGAAAATATATTGCATATAACAACATGCCAAATTTCTGGAATTGTCCTGTAGAGTCACTTGGAATAGCCCATGTGGAAATAATTAATATCTCATCATGCACATTAATCATGTTGTCAACGATTTGCCTCGGTTATTTTAAAATCATAGATTGTAACTTATTGTTCGTATTCGCACTTTTATGTTTTATTGTGCGCAAATAACAACATATAGTGTCTTACCGGTGACTGATGCGTATATCATGCGTATATCATGGTATTTTATTACAATTACATCTACTTTTCGCTTGTAACAAGTTCTCACATTTCAATCAGAAGCTGTTTTGAATTTCTGTACGATAAACACACCATTCCAATTCATAAGCTAGCCTACCCTCTTTCTTCAAAAATAATATGACAAAGCGTTTTAAATCAAACAAACTGTAACGTATAATGATACTTTGTTTGCACCCAGGGACTTAGCCAGAATTTTCATTAAAAAGGGGGGGGGAGGGGGGGGGTCAAAAATGGGAATCGAAATTTAACTGTGTCCATCGGTTACCCACCGGAGACTTACGGTAAAACAAAAGAACTACTACTCTGAAAAAACTACGGCAATCTGTGGACATAAAACATGCGATAAACTACCCGATTATAAATAGATTGAATTCGGATTTTTGTAACCTTGACATTTGTCAACTTTGAGCTATTTGATACGGGCATATTTAAAATGTCTCGATTTATTAATTTAATTGTGTGCAATGTAGATTGTCATTGCGTTGACTAAAAATAAAAAAAGGATTACAACTCCAAAGGGCCACAGTCATAAAAATGTGTGGCAATGTGTCCGATTATATCTTGTTTCAGTTCGTTTTTCCCGATAAACAGTAAAATTTCCAAAGGGAAGCCAATATAATGTGTGTAATTGTGACTTACAATGTCTAAAAAGCATTTTCAATTTGTCGCGGGCCTCCTAAAACAAAACCTATGGCGGTCCTCTTCGTTTTATTTTTAGTATTTTACAACGCCGCTTTTCAATCCAAAAATGTTGGTTTTGGATTCACTCCTTTATTGACTTTAGCATCTTGTTGCCAATGCTTTTAATATAATAACTCGTTTTTCAAACAAATCCACAATTTCGCGCGAGAACCGAAAGTCAAGGCAAGTTTATTTTCTCCAACCAGTAAAAAAAAATATCACAAGCACAAATTACGAAAAAATGATAATGTACACAGTTTTACTGAAGTAGGGAAGTCGCGGGGAAATCTGCTTATCGAGCAGCGACAACCGAAGTACCACTGTTATTAGTAAATGTACAATAAATAAAATTAACACTAATTAAGCAATTGTTTATCACGTCAAAATGCGATTGGGGGTCCAACCCGCAACCCCTCCTGACTATGCCCCTGCTTTCTCCAAGCTTTAATTAAATTGGTTCGTGGTTAGATTTCCATCAATAGTCATATAATTGTTCACTGAAGAAAGCTGTTTAAGATGTCGTTGAGTGTCACAAGTACATTTCTCATGTTTTCAACAATCAGCTGGTGAGGGCGAGGGGGTATTATGAATC